CAAAGAAGAGAAAATTGTGTTTGTGTGTCTGGTTTTTCAAAAGAAGTGAGAAAATGTCATCTTTTAGGGAACTGAAACAGCTCAGAAAATCAGACAGTCACTAGGAAAGGGTCAAGTCGACAGGGAGATTCTGTCTGAGGAGGGATTTTTCCTGCTGCCTCCTGGCTCTCCTTGAGGCATCCGAAATATTTTGTTCAAATGGAAGAAATCCTCCAAGTAAAGGCGCCGTTTCTGGTCATAAAGCCACGCTGGGAAGGGCTGAGCCTTTGGGGGGACGGGAGGAGGAAAAAGAGAGGGGGAAAAAAACCCAAACCCTCTTTGCTGCAGTTTTACCCCAGCACGTCTGGCAAAATCAGCACCAGCACCTTGTGGAGTCACCGCTCTGCGTCCCCACCCCACCTCACTTTTGCCAGCAATACCAGGGTGACACAGAGCCCAGCCGGGCCCCGGGGGCACCCGGGGAGCAGCAATGCCACCCCAGCCCCCACCCCCCAGCCCTGCAAACCCAGCCTAGGCTCACGTTTAAACCCCAGCGCCCGGCTGATGCGTCAGCAATTGCAAACCCATCGGGGATGGCGACCGGTTTGCAACGCCCGAGCAAGCGGTGCCTGGCGTGAATCGGAGCCTTGCGACGGTTTTCGCAGCTCTCGGTGCCGTGGGCAGGTGGAAGGAGGGCTGCGAGTGCAGGGCTGCGCTGCAGCAGCGACTGGGTGAGGTTTTTGGCTTGGACAGGGCTCCCAGCAGCCGGCTGGAGCTGGGTACGTTGCTCACCCGCGAGGTGCATGCCTGGGTGGTGGTCTGGCTTGGGGAGCAGAGGGCACGAGCTCAGGTCACCTCCTCCAGTGCTTAAAAAAAAAATAAAAATATATATGTACAGGTATTTTTATTTTTTTATAGATATAAAAATGAAATAAATATATATACACAGAGTTATATCCGTGCTTTCGGGCGGCTGGCAGCAGCCCAAGCTCCAGCAGCCCTCTGTACCAGCCCGGCAGCCCTGGTGCACCAAGGTTTTTCTCCCTAGGAGAGGTTTGCAGCCCGGGGCCCGTGGCATTGCCCACCCCGCGGCAAGGAAGGAAAAATATCTTTTTTTTTTGCATTACTTTCTATTGTTTCTGGCCGTCTCCCCTGCTGTGTTTGCAAGAAGATGCGGAGCGACCCGCTCTGGGTGGGACGGCTGCTCCGTGCCCCTCGTCCCCCCCCATCTTCGCTGCTCCTCTGCCCCTCTCCTCTGGCAAGGCCCTATTTAGGTACCTCCCTGCAGGCACGTGTGGGTGTTATATCCTCAGGTTAAAGCAGAGACAAAAGGGTGCTCACAGACCCGAGGGCTGCCCAGGACGTGGCAGCTCGCCCCCTCCCCAGGGTGCAGCCCGGGAGGGAGATG